AATACACTATTAATCTTATGAATACTCCCTAGCATAGCCTACCCTTTGGGGGTCCAAGGGCTAGTTTAAAAAAAACCTGTATCAGAGTTCTACGAATAAAGTCAATTTTATTATTCATAATATGACAGTAAGAATACTGGCAATAATGTTGGCAATAAGAGCGTGTGTGACTTATTTGTGGAATACTCACACAAAAAGCTATTTTGAAATTATTATTATTGGTCCATGCATTGTTTGTAAATCAAGGTTTAAGACGCCACTGACATTCATTGTATATGGACAATAGCAGCCTACTATTCAAAATATATATTTTGCGTTCCTCGGAAAGTTAAGTCATAACGTTACCGGTTTGGAACAACCCGAGGGACTAAATAATGTTTATCTAATTTATCTAGACGGAATTTTGGGGTGTGCCTATGACTATGATGCTCAAATATGTTGTCGGAGAACCGTTACAGGACGTATTCTTCGGTTAAAATCAGCTAGGCATACTTACATGGCGTAACCTAATGGAACTGACCGCATCTCAAGACTCGTTTTTGAAACTTGAACGACTTTCAACGGCACGGAGCGAGAGGGAGAGGCGACGCAACGGCGAGACGCAAAGCCGATATAATAAAAGCGCACACAGAACGTGTCCTCTGTGAATGCACCTAGACAGCTCACTGTTTTTAAAACACTGCCACTGATTGAATGATTTTCCGTTATTAGTAACGCATGTCGGTTTACACTTAGCCTACTTTTTACGTGTTGTGTAAATCGATTGTATAAAAAGATTACCTGTAATCTATCGACAGTTAACCTTTTTAAAAGAGGTATGAAGACAAATAATCAGAAAATAATACGCAAAAAACATTAAACAAAAAAAGCTTTTGTCAAAATAATGTGGCAACCCGAAACATTCGAGACATCCCTCAGTTCACTTTAACATAATGTTGCAAATAAGCACTTTTTTACACTTACCCGACAAATGCGAGCGCGATGTTGACATGGCTTCAGCATTTACAATACCTGTCTGGATATGATGGTCCATGCGTGTGTGAGACAGCAGCAGCAGCAGCAGCATGAGATGAGCTCCACTGGCTCCAGTGACGCGTGTAAATCCCCACACACAGGACGCAGGAGGATATGCGGCCAAAACCATTGGGAGACTGAGCACAATGATAGGATAGATCAATAAAAATCAGTCATTAATAGAAATGACTGCATTAACATAGGCTACATTAAGCCTAATGAGACATTCATTTAATAGAATAGGGCTTAAAAACAGAAGACGAGGCTGAATAAAGCTACTTTTTCTGAACCTCCTCTTTTACCCCTTAATGCAATAGCCTATCGTACGCTTAACTAACCAAATAGAGGTTTAGTATAAGCTGTAGACCCCTTGTTATCAAGGTGCTTTGAAATAAGAAACTGATGGTTCTGTTTAGATGGTTAAAAATCTCCTTTCCATAGCTTCATTCCCCCGTTTCAGTTTTCATTCAGTCACTTTCCATTAGATTAGTTATGTGTTAGTGATTTAGTTCAATATAACTTTTGTGCACATCCATGTGAGTTTGATTCTGGTCACTCCTTTGTAAATCAAAGTCCCTTTAACAATGCGATCACAGCTACAGGCTAAAGAGTTATTTTTCTGTGGCCATGAAAAATATCCCTTCTGATTGTTGATAGATGATCAATACTGAGTGTTTGCTGGACGAACAGATTATTTGATAGCTACATCAAGTTAATTTTATTAACTCTTTCTCCGCCAGCGATTTTTTTTAAGTTGCCTGCCATCGCCAGCATTTTTGATCATTCTCACAAAATCTTCATGGCCCCCAGCATTTTTTGGTGTATGTATATCTGAACAAGTGGTGTGTCTGTGACAGTCACTGGGTGAGGAGTTAGGTGTGGGTGTTAGGCTTCAGTCACTGGGTGGATCTTCTTGAGTCTTTCATCTCATTGAGGGTGAGCCATAGGTAGTGGTTCCAAACCACCAAGCTACCCATGTTGCGGCCCATGGCTTGGGGAGTCTCTGGGGAGCAGCAGCTCGGTGGCCCAACTGCAGCAACAACTTGCCCAAATGTTTCTTCACTCCTTGAGAGCTGACCAAACCACGCCTAACTCTTCCACCACTTTCGTGAGGACCCTTAACAGCTCAGCATCGGCAGGTTGAGCAGCCAGGAGGACTGTCCTCTTCCTGGACAGAGCTGCTTCACCAGTCATCCTTCTCCGAGACCGTTGTGGACATCACATCATCGTCCAAAGCACCAAGATCATCAAGAGATCAGCTCGTGGGCTCCATCGGAGGGGCAACGAACTGTCCTCAGCATAAGAGTGGAGCCTCAAGCTTCCTGTCCCACGGCTCAACGGTGGAGGGAGGCGGAGAGGCAACAGAGTTTCGTGCACAACACCCCGATTGTCATCTACCCGCAGTGCTGACAGCCCGGCCTGTCAAGCGCCATCTCGGCATTAGCTCGTCCCAGACACAAGATCCATGAAGGGGATCGGTGAAAGAGAGCGTTATCTATCCTTTTGAGTGCGTAGATCAATGGCGAGTCTTGTATTCCAATACCTTGAAGGAGAAAGATTCTGAGGCAATGACAGCCCAGCCACGTGTTATAAAGCAGATGGCTCTGCCCATCACACAAGCGCTCAATCATTATTGGCCAATAATGTTTACTGGCATGATGCAATAGAGCAGGCGTGCCCAATCCTGTTCCTGGAGATCTACCTGCAGAGTTCAGACCCAACCCTCATCAAACACACCTGTCTGTAATTATCAAGTGCTCCTGAAGATCTGAATTAGCTGGGTCAGTTGTGTTTGATCAGGGTTGGATCTGAACTTTGCAGGAAGGTAGATTGGGACAGGAACAGGACTGGGCACCCCTGCAATAGAGGTTTGCCAATAAGTCAAGTGAACCGATCTCGAAAGGGAACCTAAATTAAGTCTAGAGGCAATACATGTAGCCATATATTTCCCATAAATTAGAGAAAAATATTTGTTTGATCGTCGTCTTAAATATGTTGGGTAATGATTTTTTTTTTTTTTTTACTACAATTCATTGAATATCAATTCAATAGACTGTGAGAATTATTAAATTGGAAATACAGAAAATGGGATTAGTCTCTAATGTATTGATAAATAGTGATGGGGCACAGAAGTGGAACATGCCACTAAAAAGGGATTTAAACTACTAAAGATGCTTTTGGTTTAAGTTATGAACCAGATCACAAAACGTATACTAACCAAATAGCTCCCTCTACCTAACATATTGTAGCAACCCTTCTCTTGCAGTTAATTATGCCTGGCTGGTGTGAATATACCATAGTGTCACAGTGAGAGGCTTATACATGATTGGACAGAAAATCTGATGAGAAGCTGAAGTGCAGAGTGATGTCTATCAAAATTATTCTGTTTTGATCACTACCTAACATATTCATACTAAAAGCAAAGAGGGAGCTCTGTCAGTAGGTGCTGTGTTGTGTTAGTTGGTGAACAGATCTATTATGGTGGGTCTGATCGTGAAGTGCAGGACAGATGTGAAATCATGCACGGATGGTGCCTTAGATCCCAGCCAGTATTTTAGAGAAAATGGTATGAACAGCTGTAACCATGGCATATGATCATATGACTCTTTCACAGGCTAAATGAAAAATATTCAACTCAAAATCATGTCAGGTGCTTTCAATGTCATGGAAAAAGGCTAGTAAGTTGGCTCCCCCTAGTGGCGATCCTAAACATACATCAGAGAATGTACTGTTGGAGTGAGCAGTCTTGCATTCCACTATTAACTACCAGTAGGCATTGTCCTATCTATCTACATCCATCCATCACTATCTACACGCGACTATCCATCCATCATAACAATGAGGACACCACAAATAGGCAAAAAAGAAATATTTATTTCATGATAGAACTCAGTTTCCAAATAACTGACCATTCAAAAAAAATGTACACAATTTTTTTAAAATCTTTTTTTCAGGATCCACGGACAGCAGTTGTAATATCTATGACCACATGCAATGGTTTTTTTTGTCCACTACACACAAACAGGTACTAAGCCCCTAAGCCAGCGCTACCTTGACATGAGCTGCACTCTTCCATCACTGCAGACAGCTGTATTCAAGCCTGGAGCATGGCTAAAATGTCCAATGCTTTTTTAGAGTCCAGCACTCTCCCACCTCAATTTACAGGTTCGATTTATGATGGCCGGCAACAGCAAAAGGTTTTTTTCCAAGGACTGTTTGAGGGACACATCCATGCACTCACGCAGTTTACAGTATGTTCAATATCAGACTTTGAGGGACCACTGATCATAGTGTCAAGGATTTTATACTCTTTTTTTTTTTTTTCTCCAGAGGTAAAAATAAGGACATTGATTTTTTTTAATTAAATAATATGACATTTTAATGTCCTGGTCTGCAGTGTGGTGTCCTGTGTTAAAAGGTCTCTGGACAGATAAAGTGCACTTGATGGCTGAGGTTCTTCAGCAGTGGGTCTCCTCGTTCACAACAACAGCAAAAAAGAAAATTCTGCCCTAACTCAGGGATTTCAATATGTAGGACTGTAGCACCAAGTGTCCACCAGTAAGGCAAGATACTGTAATGCGGCAGGCTGCAGACGAGAAACGTGAAATGGCAATATGTATGTGCTTGTAGAAGGCGGAAAAAAAAAAAATCCCAAAACCTCTGGGTATTCATGAAAATCAGTGCACAGAACAGCATTAAATTTTCCCTTTTCAGTCCAAATCTGGACCACTAAGAACATGGAAATAAATGCTAATCACAGATAACAGTGTTTAAGGAACCTCTTCCTGATACTCCATTGCACTTTTGCCATACTCTTGAAGGAAGAGGAAGACATGATGGTGGTTGTATTTTTCACTGTAAAAGCAATTCCAGCCACGACTGCTTTCGGTTAGCTTCCCCTTGTTCCAGTGAGATGATGAGCAGATCTGACATCTGCTCATTTCAGTCCAAGAAATGTTGAGTCTCTTTTATGGTCTTCTGGTTGAATGGGTGGAGAGGGTCGTGAGAGAGCACCACTACAGAACAGGGCGTTAATGCTGCAGCTATATAAACCAGACTCTGTTGGGAGTGAAGACATGTATAAAAAGGCACCATATTTTTGGACAGGGTAGATGTACGAATTTGTATGTGCAATATGAGTCTGAATCCATCTCTTTTCCTCCACATCTAAAGGCATTACCATTACTAAGGCAAATTCTCTCTGTAAAGAAATGCAAAGTGCATCTGCTCTGCTCTTCTATATTCTTTGCATTGGTGCTGTTGAACAAATGTTCAACGTCGCATTCTAATCATAGATATATCTCTTTAATAAATTATATTTATATATATATTTATTTATTTATTTATATGTCCCCACCCCCCATTATACCCCTGTGGCCGTCAGCGCACGTTACAGGTATTACTGTACAAACTTAAAGCCATGCTTGTCCTTTGGCCACTTTAAGTTCTGCTCTGTTCACAGTTTCCTCCTCCCGACACTGAGAACGAACAGACTCCGAGCAGTTTTCTTCACAGAGATCACACAGACATTCCGAGAAAGGGAAAAAGCATATTCGTACATGATGAAAAGAGACAGAAGTACAAATATTCATTGTAAAATATGTTTCCAGCGAAAAGACTTCCATTAGGGTGTTGCCTTGGAAACCAAAGAGTCCTCTCAGAGGGCTGCAGATCAAAATGCGATTGGACGATTTGTGACTCCAAAGTTTCACTGCACCCCTTCCTCGTCGACGTACGTGGAGGGGAACCATCCAATCTGAATGGAAAACAGAGACAGAATCTGAGAATATACAACCTCAGACTCGCACAATGAGAATAAATGTTTTACATTATACAACAGTTAATTCAGGTCTTCTATATGATTGGCCAATGTATTCCAATTGGATGTTTTACAAACAAACTATTTTCTATCATAAAAGTTGCTTTAAAACTGGCCAATTTTTCATTTGCTCATAACATTTGCTTGCTTTATTACCCTGCCATTGGCCTCTCCTTTCCACCAGCCTTGGTCTCCACCAATCTTGCTGTAGATCTTGACGATGTCCCCTTCTCGCAGGGACAGCTCTCTCATGTCTCGAGCGGCAAAGTTGTATCGCGCCACAGCTGTGCTGACTACCCTGGGTGTGAATACTGTACAAGGCCAACAACATCCGGAGATTAGTGCATGTAAAATGCTGAAGAGTGCCATTAAATGCTTATACGACAGATGAGTGGACAATTTGACATTGTGAGAGAGATGTAAATGAATGCGGTATTATTACAAGAATTTGATACATTTCTGAAGCCCTAACAAGAGGATGCTGAAAACACAACCAGGGGAGAGATGTGGATAAGCGACTGAAATTGAAGAGGAATTGGGGGAGGTGGCATGGATGATGCAAAAGCATGAGCAAAAAGCGCAGTACCTGACCAGAAGGGAGCAGAGCTTTGAGAGGAGAAATTGAGGCCCTGAGGACTGAGGAAGGAGAAGTTGTAGGAAGCACAGGTGGCTGCTGAGACAGAATAGGTAGAGGGGGGAGGGGGGGAGAGAGAGAGAGAGAGAGAGAGAGAGAGCGCAAACAAATAAATGAGGAAGGCACAGCAGAGTTGCACATCACTACAGGGTAAAGAAAGTTCAAGGACGTGGTTTCCTTACCAAACTAAGACAAGGTAACAGAGTCAGTAAGGTGTGTGTGTGTATGTTTGTATGCATGTGGAAAAAAGTAGCTAGAATTCTTACAGATGCAATGACCCAAAAATCAGTTACTCTGACATATTTCTATATGTCTACATACATCTATATACACTACCTTTTAAAAGGTTGGAGTCATTATCATTTTTTGAAATACCTTTATTTAGCAAGAATACATTTATAATAAAGACTTTTACATTGTTACAAAAAAAATTGTATGATGGTTTTCAAAAATATATTAAGCAGTTGATACTAATATTAAATGTTTCTTGAGCAACAAATCAGCATTTTATAATGATTTTTGATGGATCATGTGACACTGAAGACTGGAGTAATGATGCTGAAAATTCAGAGGAATAAATTAAGAATAATGTAATAAATTACATTTTAAAATATATTAAAATAGTAATAATATTTCACAATAATACTGTTTTAACAATTCTTTAATCAAATAATTGCAGCCTTGATGAGGAAAAAGACTTCACTGTATTCACTATTCACTGTACGGAAAAGAACACAGTGAACATTCTGTCCTTTTCTATTCCATGGAAGGAAGTCATTGAGGTTTGAAACAAAATGAGGGTGAGTGAATGACAAAATTTTCATTTTTGTGTGAATGATTCCTTTAGGCAGCTTCCACATTCTCAGAAACAGGCACTGTCTTTACGCACTAGCATAAATATCAGTGAATACCAGTTAAGCTTGGCTCTGGAAGGAGAACAAAGGCGCATAACTTATAATACATCCAATCCAATCTGTTTATTAGAACCTATTCAGCTCAGCCAGAGTGGGCGGCTTCTTAACAACCAAGCCTAAGATGACTGACAGTTGAAATACCAGAAGGCGGAGCATACAGAATGTGAGGGCGGGACCAGCTGCCAGGGTTTGTTTGTTCAGACTTCCAGAGTGTGTCCAAAGATTGTGGAAGGCTGCTGGCCAGACTGGTGGGGGTCAATAATAAATGTGGGACAGAGAAAGCAAAAAAGCAGAAGAGTGAAAATAAAAAAAGAAGGGAGTAAGGGAGAAGAAGAAAGAGAGATAAAAAGACAGAGAATTATGGCAGTGAACGTTTACCTGGTGAGCGGGTATTGGTGCGAGAGCTTGAGCGTTCCCGGGATTTGTAAGGGTACCGTAATGTCGTGTCCAACAGCTTAAAGCTCTCTTTCAGTGAATGAATCTGATAATACTCCACAAGCTCCTGTAACAAAGAAACATATCTAAAGTTACTTACGGAGAAGAAATACCAATATTTGCAAGGGATTTTTTTTTTTTTTTTTTTAAGATTTAGGTAGGCTTAGATTAGGCTATGGTTCTATGTAAATGAACCAGAGCCATATTAGCCTCACACATCTTGTTTTTTGGCAGCCGTGCAACATAAGGCTATAAAAAAAACAGTAATATTGTGAAATATCATTACTAACTGTAAAATAAAATAACATTACTATAAAGAAAACTATATACAATTAATTTGAAATAGAAATATTTTGTAACACTATATGTCTGTACTTTCTGATCAAATAAATGTCCATGCTGAATTTTTTTTCTCTTCTTTTTAAAATAAATCGTACTTACCCTTAAATGTTTGAATGTTAGTGCGTACAAGTATAGACACGAAAAGAAAATATCTAAAGTGAAACCTGGACTGAAATCTGTATGTTAAGTGCTTTGAGTGAATTAATTGTGTAAAACTGCAGAAAAAGTTTTTCAATGCAGTCTTTACCATACAAGCATTATAAAAATGCAAGACATTTCTCTTACCAGAAGGCTTTCAAACTTCTTTGCCTCTGTAATGTGAATCCAGTTGTCTTTCTCAATAACTTTAATATGCTTCACTTCATCATTAAACCTGTTAAAAGGAGAGAAATGTTCCCATCATTCACCAAATTCACAGAACGTTTCCCAATAATATTGCATATCATACTATATATGGAAGGCTTATTTATTTAGTTGCGAATTTAATTTGTGCAAAATCGGAATATCATATAAAACATTTGTGAATAATGTACTCTTTCCATCCCATGTGTTCAAGAGAACAAAATCGTCACTTCCTGGGAAATTGGCACAAAATACAGTATATGTAATAAAATGGAAGTTGCTGCAATCGGGAAATCCACTGTGGCTCTTTTTTCCTACATCATAAATGACTTGTGTTTCAGAGCGTGCAGGCAAAACCTAATAAATGCTTTAATGTTATCTGCCGTTCGGATTCCTGGTGTTTGGACATGCAATCATGTGAGACGCTTCTGGGAGGGAATTAAACCAAATCAATTTTTATGACAGACTTCGGCTCAGGCATTTCAGAAAGATCAAACCAACATTAAAGATGATGTGCAATGAAATTTGTCCACTCGTTAGTCCAGTTATCCAATCACATCCACTGATGAGGCAAAGTCACATGAGTTTTTTGTTGTGCATTGAAGGATTTATTTGGTAAATGTGGATTTATTGTAGTTTACGTGCATGTCTTCTTATTGGATAAAAAAACTATCCGCCTCAATTGAGCGCATACGTTTTTCATGTGCATATTGGCGTTTTCATATTTATTTTTTTGTGATATCTCAGAATGCGCATTAAAATAGGTGGATGGAAAATAGCTAATGACTGACAAAATACTAACAGAAGACGAACAGAATGTTTTATTGTGGACATGAATACATGTAACACTCACTTGATGCTGATTGCGAATCTCTCAGCCTCTGCTGTTCTCTCTCGGATCAGATAGGTGCCGCTGCTGTGAGACTTGAGCAGGTTGTCGGCCTGCTGCCGCTCCATGTTTCCTGCAAACCTGAAGCCCACAGGGAAAACACAACTCATTCACAAGCCCCTTCAATACCCTGTACATCATTACAGGAGCTCTCACAGAGGTCGTTACCTCATTAAAGCACAATAAAGACCTAACATGCCTCACAATTAGCCTAAAGCTAATCAATCATCATCATTGATTCTAGTTATGACATATATAATTCCATGCAAATTTCACTGGATCAAAGGAGAGTAGCATAGCTGCAAAGACTTATTACTATAATTACATTATTAATAATGTAATATATAATATGAGACTGTGAACAGTGATTATAAACAAAATAAATATTGTAGTATCTTGGTTTTGTAAAGAGTAAAAATGGACAAATCAATGTGTTCGCAAACAGGATGAAATACCAGGGATAAACGTAGTAATCTGTTTCTCTGGAGGACTGACGGCTGGAAAATGACTGCAAAGGCTGTAGAGAAGAAAACCGTAAAATACGACATATAAAAGACCACAGGGGCTGGTTTCATTTCTAATAGTATAGAACATTGTCTAATAATTCTAGTATACAGTACATATATTTAAGAGAAAGGAAAAATATTAGGAATAATTTAAGAAAATGTAAATGTTAAAATGATTCGATTTTGTTTTTATGAATCTGTACCTTAGGGTCTAGACATGGTTTTACACTGGAACTGGGGAAGAAGCCAGTCTTTTGGGTTTGGATGAGCTTGCCCTTAAAGAAAAATGCAACGAATGACAGATAAAGATGAATGAATTAAGAACTTTAAGCCTCCCAAAATAAGACAGCAGTTTATAGAACTCAAACTATATTAGGTATGAACAGGGTCCAAAATTAATGCCAATGGTGTGTGAACTGATTTTTTTTTTACTGGCCATAAAAACACTATATGGACAAAAGTATTGGGACACCTGACCCATTACACCAACAGGGACTGTGATGGCATCACATTCTAAATACATAGACTTTAATATTTGTGTAGGTCAGGCACTGGTGTTGGACGAGAAGGCCTGGCTCGCAATCTCCGTTTCAGTTCATATCAAAGGTGTTTGATGGGGTTGAGGCTAAGCCAGTCAAGTTCTTCCACACCAAACTCATCCAACCATGTCTTTATGGACCTTGTGCACAGGGACACAGTCATGTTGGAATAGAAAAGAGCCTTCCCACACTTTTCCCACAAAGTTGAAAGCACAGCAAAATGTCTTGGTATGCTAAAGCATTATATTTTCCCTTCAATGGAAATAAGAGGCCTAGTCCAACCCCTGAAAAACAGCCCCATACCATTATCCCTCCACCACCAAACTTAACAATAGAAACAATGCAGTCAGGCAGGTAACATTCTCCTGGCAAACCCAGACCTGCCCATCAGACTGCCAAACAGAGAGGCGTGATTTACACCACTCCATCCAACGCTTGGTATTTTACTTGGTGATGTGAGGATGCATGCAGCTGCTCGGCCATTGAAACCCATTCTAAGAAGCTCCCACTGCAGTTTTTGTGCTGACATTCATGCCAGTGTAAGTTTGGACCACTTCAGCTATAGAATCAGCAGAACTTTGGCGACTTTTACACACCATGCGCCTCAGCACAGTGACCCCGCTCTGTGACTTTGCGTGGTGTTCCGCTTCATGACTGAGTGGCTGCTGTTCCTAAATGCTTCAATATTTCAATAATACCACTTACAGTATGACCCATTTTTTCCACAAATGTTTGTAAATGCAGACTGCATGGCTTAGGTGCTTCCATGTCCCTTAACACATGTGTCACCTGTGACTTAACAGGTCTCTTACCTGTTAGGAAATTGTATTTCTGATTTGGTTGTATCTCTAATATGATTCGTTTACATCAGAAAGGGACTGTTGTTTTTGTACCATTTAAAACAATACCATCAATTCTTAAAATGGGCCAACTGAACTAAAGCTATTTTACTAGTATTTGGCACCTAGAAAAAGTGTAAAATCTGGACCATAGAACAGGTCATCACTGTAAACATGGCAAATGTTTCATTTTATAATATCATACCTCCCACCATGATGTGTCTGGATCTCCCTTCAGGAGCTCAATGACTTCTCCTGTCTGAAAGCAGAGTGGCATCTTGCCTGGCAAGGCAGGGGTACCATTGTAATTTTTGATGGCCACCATCTTTGGACCTTAAGAACACAATTTAAAAAAAAAAAATCTTATCAGAACTGCAAGAACAAATTACATGGACCCTTATAATTTATATTCTTAGAACACACCCATACCCTGTGTTTATTGCATGCATGTACTATACACTAGATGTCAGCAGAGAGCTGAAATATAATTTCTTTAGAGCATGTGTGCTGAATCTGGTCCATTTCAGTTTAAGACCCTGAAGCTGTGCGCAGTATCTAAATTTTTCATATTGACATAACTGCATTAGTATCTCAGAAGACCCTAATATCTCAAAAATCACATTTTACTTATATTCTTACCTGATTGTGGAAGCCCTGGCTCCTGCAATAGACAGAAGGAAATATATGATTTAATGCACTTCAAAGTGTAATATGGTTTTAATTTAAGCATATTAGGCATCCTTAAAGTGTTTTTCAAAATTGAGGAAAAACTTTCAGATGATGAAAAAAAAAAGTTTGGTAAAAGTCAGTGAGAGTGGATGATTAATTCATTAGACATTAGTGTGGAGTAATCTGAGAGATGGAAGTTTAATAGTTCAGGCCACTAAAAACTCACCGAATCATGGGGACCTGAAATAATAATGAGAGAGAGAGAGAGAGAGAGAGAGAGAGAGAGAGAGAGAGAGAGAGAGAGAGAGAGAGAGAGAGAGAGAGAGAGAGAGAGAGAGAGAGAGAGAGAGCATGGTCAGTGGTTTGTTCTCTTTAATTAGGGCAGATGTAATGTACATGTGGTTCTTTAAGAAGCAGCTTTCTGTGAGAGACTTACTTATTTTGCAGATGGTAATGACCTCCAGACACTCCTTATGGACGCCGGTCCCACAGCGTGGACAGTAGTATCCCTGGTAGAAAATACCTCTAAAGAAAGAATGATAAAATAAAAGTGAGAGACACATACTGATGCTAAAGGGTCTGAAAGCAGCTAGGGCTCTGACAAACGAGAAATGTCAATATAGTACAATAAAATGTCTTCATTTCGTGAGGTCCTACTGAAGATCAAACTCATCCAAACACAACAACTAGAATTTGTTTTGATTTTGAGTCATGCTCACCCATGCATAACTTAGAACCATGTTGCTAAGATGTTGTGAGTAGTTGCCAAGAGACTGCTAAGCAATTGCTAAGTTGTTCTAGGTGGTTTCTAGGTTGTTGCTTAAGAGCCCACCACCAAGTCTCTACCAGATTCAGAATCAAAACCGCTTTGTTTTTGTCCACATAAGAAACAATTACTGTCCTAATAGGAGTTTAGTCCATGCTGACCAAAAGAAAGAGTACATCTTTAAAATGCATGCAAATTACAGTGAATCGCAACAGATATTTTAAGCTGGCTTGTAATTCTCTAAACTTAGTACAACTTATTGACAGCCCCACCAGACTCAATCCATCTAAGCTTAATAGTGACACCCTGTTAGATGTCATTCTCACCAACAGGGCTCATAAGTATACAGCAATAGGTGTGTTTGCAAAAGACCTGAGCGACCATTGTGTAATAGGATGTGTGAGAAACACCAAAATACCTAAACTTAAGGGTCTCACTGTTTCAAGACGTTATTTTAAACACTTTTCTGAGCAGGCCTTTTTATCTGATTTGGCAAGACTAAATTGGGATCGTGTTGCACTGATTCCTACTGTAGACGAAGCTGTTGCTTTTTTTCAGCAACAGTTTCTATTGATTGCAAATAAACATGCTCCTTTTAAAAAGCATAGAATAAAGAACAGGAATAATCCTGGGTTTTCTCAAGAACTAGCCCAGTTAATTCAATCAAGAAATAAACAGTGGTCCCTTGAAAGGAATACAAGCAGTATTGTAGATTGGCAACGTTTCAGATCTTTGAGAAATCAATGTACCACAGCCATTCAGACCTCTAAATCAAATTATTATCTTACTTCAACTAATGATAATTTTAACAATCCATCTAAATTCTGGAAAACAATCAAAGTATTACAGAATAAAAAGGCTTCAGACTTTCCCCAACAATTGAATATTGGAAATATAACTATCACAGATAAAAGGGATTTATTAAATGCCTTTAATGCTCATTTTGAGAAGGCTGGTCATTTATTTGATCAGCAGCTTCCATAAATTTCAGTTGATCCTTCAACATGTTTTTCGCTACCTAGCACATCCTCAACTTCTGCTCTCTCATTTGATTTTGAAGCCCTACAAGTTCAAGATGTTCTGCAATCACTGAATTCAATAGACCCCAAAAAGGCGCCTGGACCTGATGGTCTGGATCCCTTTTTGTTAAAGGTGGCTGCACCGGTCATAGCTGAGCCTATTACTCACATTTTTAACATGTCAATAAGTTTTAACCAGGTTTCAGCTATCTGGAAGCAAGCTTACATTACACCCATATTTAAAGCTGGTGATCGATATGACATGAACAACTTCAGACCAATCTCTAATCTCCCTGTTCTTTCGAAAATATTGGAATCTCTAGTTGCTACCCAACTTAAATCATATTTGCACTCGCATAACATTTTAAATGAAATGCAATCCGGGTTTCGGTCAGGGCACAGTACAATAACCGCCACTTTAAAAGTCATGGATGACTTCAAAGAGGCTATAGATAATAAATCTACCTGTGTTTCTCTGTTCGTAGACCTCACAAAGGCGTTTAATACTGTGGACCATTTATTACTTGTTAACACCCTGCTGAGAGCTGGCATTGGATGTAATGCGGTCAAATGGTTCCATAGCTACTTGACCAATCGTTCACGAATGGTCAAACATGGCAATAGCCGCTTTCCGACCAAGTGGTTACAGGAACTTAGTTATAGGAACTGTCCACTTCTAAACAGTTCTAAGAACTACTCTCCCCCAAACTCGGTTTTGCTGTTTGCGTTCGCACTGGCCAAGTGGCCATAGGAACTGGTAGGAGGGGTAAGGGAGTGACGCAAGCACGGCGGCGGCGGCGGCCCCACATACAACAACAACAAACCAGCATGAGGAGGCTATCGGAATGTTCCTGTTCTGCCTTCCCGGGACCTTAATAACGGAGTACGAACGGCGGCGTTTAAAGATCTTGAGTTCTGTACAGAGAAACACAGAAGACGAAGGCTCCAGCGTAATATGATCTTAAGTAATATGATGGAAGAAGATAGAAGAGCAGAGCGCAGGAGGCAAACAAAACGACAGGTAAGTTTAGCAAGCATTAGCAATTAGCTGGTTGAATGCGTTATGTTTGTCTTAAGTTATGAGTTAGCATAGCCTACATAGGCGAATTGCAACAGACAGTGAAGAAAATGTGTTGACAGTGGGCGTGACTTATAAGTTGAACCAATCAACGTAGACCTAGGGAAAGGGAACTATAAAAGTCCTCGCTCTAGACTAGGTACTGAAAGAGTTATAGGAACTACGGTCTGAGGAACTAAAAAATCCCCAACTTAGTCCGGTCGGAACACGCGAAAAAAAGGGTTATAGGAACGTTAGGTTCTAGGAACGGCAAAAGTCCCTCCGGTCGGAAAGCGGCTATTGTTATGTCAAACCCAGTCCTTGTTACGAAGGGTGTTCCACAAGGTTCAGTTTTGGGACCCTTGCTTTTCCTAGTTTACATTAATAATATTTGTGATAAGTTTAAATCTTGTAAGTATCATCTGTATGTAGATGACACCGTTCTGTACTCCTGTGCCCCTACAGCTGAGTTGGCCTTTTTTAAATGTGCAGGCAGATTTTGACATCCTGCAACACGCTCTATTAGATTTGAAGTTGTTGTTAAACCCACACAAAACTAAAATTATGGTTTTTACTACTGGGCGAACAAAGCTACCATCCCTCTCCATCACGTCACTGGATGGAGTCTGTATCCAGTCAATAGACAATTACAAATATCTGGGAATTTGGATGGACAAAAACCCAAATTTTAAATACCATGTTGATTATCTTGCAAAGAGATTAAAATTCACATTGGGTTTTCTGTATAGGCTAAAGTCTTGTTTCTCCTTGGCCTCACGAAAACGCTTAGTTGCTAGCCTTTTTCTGTCACAGATTGATTATGGGGATACTGTCTACAGATTTGCCTCTCTGTCCACCTTGTCCAAACTTGACCCCCTTTATCATTCAGCTCTTAGATATGTCACTAACTCTAATTTTAGGACACATCATTGTACACTATACAGTTTGGTAGGATGGTCATCTCTTTATTTGTGCAGGCTCGAACATTGGTATATTTTAATTTACAAGGTTATTTTAGTAAAACTTCCAAATGATTTAAACAGGAAATTTTTATCATTTCAAAGCCGTCATCATCTTAGGTCACATAACTGGCTACAGTTCAAAGTGCCTGCTATCAGAACAGAGGCTGGAAAGCTAAGCCTGTTCTATTATGACCCTTGGTCTAGGAATGACGTGCAGACTAAACTCAAACTACAATCCCTCATCTCTCAAATGATTTTAAACATAGAATAAAGGAGGTGGTCAATGCTAATTGCAGTTGCTTTGCCAATTCTATTACCACTTAACTCTTTATTAAACCTATGATAATGTTGTTTCTGTGAACAGTACTATGTAGGGTATTATGTTATACCTAAATGTTTGTGTTGCTGTGCTGTGTCTCAGTGTTGTATAACATCTTGTTGTGGAGCTGTGTTTTCTGTTGTATTTAATGATGATGTTGTGATTGGTTTCTTATTGTTGTTTGTTATTTGTTTAATCCTGCTATCCGACCCCATCTTGACTAGGTCTCACTTGTAAAAGAGGTTTTAACCTCAATGTGACTTTCCTAGTTAAGTAAAAAGGTTAATAATAATAATAATAGATATAGTATGGTGCTCAGTGGTCAAAAAAGATTTAAACAGTGAATTTTGAATAGATCTCTTCTTGTAAACTCAGAGATGTGGATTCAGATGGCAATTCAATTACCACACAACCTTCGTGTTTGACAAAAAAACAGATATTTTTTACTAAAGTGGTGGGAGAAAAGAAAATGTCATTCTGGACTAGGACAGCAATAAAATAACAGACTAGCCCCTTTAAATGTTTCAAATATTTCCGAATATTTAGCAAATTACCTACCACCTTTTTTCGGGAAAACTCAACGGCCCTCTGAGAAATCTAATCCCGTCCAGGATGCGAATGTCTAAGATTGCTGATGTTGTATTTCATCCACAACTTGTTATATTCCAAAACAACATTCTGATGCTATAAATGTTACATTAAGGCAATTCTAAGATAGCATTCGTGTGTCAATCAACATTAGCGTGCCACCCTCAGGCTGATTAACGTAAACTCAGCCAAAAGTGATCTGAATGTGTTAAGCGATTAGTATATCAAGTTTACAAAATGTTTATTATAAACCAGCGCTAAGACCCAGAATCTGCCCTTCCTATATTTACGGTCAGGAGCCGCTACGAGTGTCAGGTAAGACACTTGTCTTGATTTCTCTGCTCACTTTTGTGGGTTTAATAAACATCCAATTCTATTAACTCATGTGAAGTTTATTTACTTAGGGTTTTTAGAATTTATTAAAATTATATTCATTTAATAAAACATTCATTAAAAGACATATGCGTCATATGTAATGCACGCAAATACAGCACATGAACTTCTGTAAAACACACATCTAGCAAACATACACTCCCACCTCTGTAATAAACACAGAAATGTTAGTCCCGTCCGAATCTGTGCATGAAATCACAGACATCAGGTGATAAGAATTGCAACTCAAACGTTGTTTGGAAAACAAGTCACGTCTGAATAGGGCTTAAGTTGTTTTCTGAGAAAGTCTCTGCTTGGCTTTGTGCTGACGCTTATATCATTGCTATAGCAAACGATGTAGATACACCATATCAGAAACAGATCAGATGTATCACTTGATAGTACGGAAAAACAGTCCTACAGTAAATATCATATTTGAAAACCAAATGTGTCTGTAGCATCTAATGTCTATGATGTTCTGGTCCTGACTTTAATGCAATTCTATGCTTTTTTTGTGCAATTTAATCATCCGTGATGCCAAAGGCACACATTTCATTGCTTATGATTCAACAAGCCACACAATTTGAGGTATCCTTCATGTCCGTAGCGCAAACAGTGCGCGACATACTGAAATGTAATACTTAAAAGCTTGTTCAAATTCTAGGCATGAGCCATTGTAATAGTGACGCTTGGCTTTGGAAGCCAACTTGTGCATTAATACAGCCCCAACAATCACCCAACGTGACTCCATATGTCGGTACAACTAAGCGGCAACATTCAACACCCAAACAAAATTCAGGCCAGTTTGCACACAGATTGAAACATGGAGCTGTTATAATTAGCAGCCAATGTACACACTGACCTGCACTGCAGGGTGGCAAATTTAGGTCAGCGCAGTATGATTTCACACGAGTTAATACAGCCAATCAGTGAAGCAGCTCATGTAATACAGGTCAAACCAGTAGCCTAGTAACATGGGTCGAAGCCCGTCTCAGTTCACTGCGCCGCCTCTGTAATTCAGCGAGATTGGCTGTTGTATGAGAGAACCCTCACCTCAGCAGCATTTTACAGGCTCTGCAGTTGGTGTTCTTTTCAAACGTGTGCATTTGGAAGTTGTGCTGGTTGGCAGTGGCTCTTTCGGGTTTGATGTTTGACCTGTGTGGATAAATACTCGCACATGTGATACAGTGATCAAAAAATCCTGTGTAATTTTGACACTGTGGTTCTAACATACATGGCCATTTCAAACTGCTCCATCCACTTGCGCTTGGTATCTTCTGTCTTGCAGAAGAACTGGAAGCCCTGTTTCCCCTGCAGATGGATCAGGTAGAAGCCATAGGACCACTATGGGTGGAAAGAAGATGGTTTATGGAGGGAGGGATGGTGGAGAGATATAGAGAGAATGCAGCAATGGATTGAAAATGTTTTCGGATTGGTGACATATCCGTCTGCACTGTTTAAATTATTTTTTTAAATCATTTTAATTGTCTATGTAAACGTGTCTTTGGCTGTTCCATTGAATCTCATGCTACAAACACAGCTTTTTTAAAGGCCCAATTCACTTGAAGTTTTTTTTTTCAGTATTGACGAGTTTCCTATTGAAACAGGATGTTTGGGCGGTACATTTTCGCTTGTTTCCTTTTTTTGAAAATAGCCAGAAGCCTTTAGCTACATCATGCCACAAACAATGATTTGCTGCTTGCTAGTCTGTAGCATTAGTGGGACCCACATTCTCACTCTAGAAAAGAAAATATTTGGATAAAAATCTTTGTAGTGCAGGATGAGTCATCAATTATTTTAAATGCATCTATACTACAGTTTGGGGTCGGTAAGATTTTTGAATGTTTTTTAAAGAGGTCTCTTATGTACAGAGCCCCTAAAGAGACGTGGTGGTGGAAAAAAATTTAGGATGGGAGAATTTTTTTTTTCAAATCTTTTGCGTTCCCTCGCAAAACCTTTGCGTTCCCCCGAGAAACTTTGCGTTCCCTCGCAAAGTTATTTGCGTTCCCACGCAAAAGTTTCGCGTTCCCTCGCAAAGATATTTGCGTTCGCACGCAAAACCTGTTGGCAGCTCGGACAGACACTACCTGTTTAATGTCCCGCTGGCAGTGTTTCAGAGCTCCGTACGTTAATGGAGCGTTTCATAGTGTTTGAACTTGGACTCTAATATAAAGAAATGCGGTCAGTGCTTAACTCAAGGTGTTCAGTGAAGTTGGCAATACACAGGCTATTCGAACTTCCCGGATCAATATTCTTGAGCTAAACGTTGTTAAAACACACACACGACACCTATTTACAATCACAGTAACCTAGACAACGAGCTACAACCCAATTCACCTTAAAACGAGCTTTATACAACACTTAGTTTGGGAAGTGTTGTATAACCAACATTAGAGCAGTGATGTGTGAACTAAATTTGGTGTGTTACAGTGAAGTTATTATTATTATTTTTTTTATAATATAAAATGTGCAAAAGCAGTGCAGTACACATCATTGATGTGTAAACTGAATTGGGTGGTTTGTAACATTGAAGTTAATGACTATTGTTATATGTTTGACTATGAGTTGATGCTGTAGTCGTTTTTTGGGTTATATTGCACTTTGCAGATGGTCTCTTCGGACTCGTCTCTCAGCCGCCTGCTCATAGAGATCCATTTAGCCTATATTATAAAGCTCGTTTTGAGGAGAATTGGGTTGTAGCTCGTTGTCTAGGTTACTGTGATTGTAAATAGGTGTCGTTTGTGTTTTAACAACGTTTAGCTCAAGAATATTGATCCGGGAAGTTCGAATAGCCTGTGTATTGCCAACTTCACTGAACACCTTGAGTTAAGCACTGACCGCATTTCTTTATATTTGAGTCCAAGTTCAAACACTATGAAACGCTCCATTAACGTACGGAGCTCTGAAACACTGCCAGCGGGACATTAAACAGGTAGTGTCTGTCCGAGCTGCCAACAGGTTTTGCGTGCGAACGCAAATATCTTTGCGAGGGAACGCGAAACTTTTGCGTGGGAACGCAAATAACTTTGCGAGGGAACGCAAAAGTTTTGCGAGGGAACGCAAAGTTTCTCGGGGGAACGCAAAAGTTTAAAAAAAAAAAAAAAATCTCCCATCCTAAATATTTTTCCACCACCACGTCCCTTTAGGGGCTCCGTACTTATGCTCAGCAAGGCTACATTGATTTGATCAAAAATATATTTGAATTTGGGCTGTTGATTTAACGCATTCATTTAATTAATTAGTTATGCTGAAAAAATAACGTGTTAAAATTATTTAATGCATTTAATGCACCTGCTCCACCACTGACCTACGTAAGTGATCTTACATTTCATGTTCGTCACCTAAAAACTCACTGCATGATGTGATATTGATTTTATACAACAGTTAAATAAATAAGAAGTTAATATTATGTTTATATTGAGTAAATATTTTAGACCCAATATTGTCTGCCTTTGCTAAATTTTTTGCCAACAAAAATATTACCTATAAAGCCAGAGCAGAACTGCTGTGTGTCTCCCAGGAACACACAGTGTTTAATTTTTTGGATTGAATGAATCCACGTTTTTTTGGTACCGGGTACTTTTTGCCTACTCTTTTAGGAGTACTGTGAATTCGGACATACTTTTGTCACATACAGATTTCGCCTACTGTATAGTAGGGAAGTATGCGATTTGGGATGCAGCCATTTACTTAATTCCTGAATGAATCAGCAGTTTGAACGAATCTAACGAATGAATGAATGACTCCTTATCTTACTCATTTAGACATTTACCGCCACCTTCTTGCAGTTTTAGTTTCTTATTTAGAGAATAATTTCATAAAAAATAATACAAAATTCCATATTAATAAAAAAACTATTATTATAGGTATAGTTTACCCAAAAAAGAAAATTCTGTCATAATTTACTCACCCCCATGGCCCCAATTCTATGTTGTATCAAATAAAATATATTTTTTTCCTAAAGCTCCTTTTTTAATGTCTATTTGAAGCTTTTCTCAGACAAATTTGATGTGTGATTACAAAATAAAAAATGAATCGAGTAATTAGGTTAAAAAAAATGAATCCCTTGACAGCCCTAATTTTAACATTTTAAAATGTAATTTGGCAAAGCAGAATTTTCAGCATCGTTACTCCAGTCTTCAGTGTCAAATGGTCCTTCAGAAATCATTTTAATATGCTGATTTGATGCTGAATTTACATTTCTTGCTATTATCATAGTTGAAAACTTTTTTTTTTCAGGATTCTTTAATGAATAGAAAGTTCAAAAGAACAGTAATTATTTGAATTCTGTAACAATGCATAAGCAATGAAAAAAGTATCAATTTCTTTTTTTTCTTTTTTTAAATCTTGGTGACCCCAAACAATAGTGTACATCTAATAAAAGTTAATTTAATTTAGCTAAAGCTAATAGATGTGGATTAATTTTGACTTCATGGGGTGTTTTAGATGCTGTGTCGAGTAAAAAAGAACTTTGAAAACTTTGAAAAGTGCATCTTAATGGATTCTGCAGCACATCTTTGGAAACATCTTAATCAAATTGATTTGTAAAAACAGCTGATTCAATTCTGGCAGCATAAAGCTGCTGTTGATCTCTTGAGATGACAGGAAACAGATCACAACATCACAGAAGTGAAAGGCATAATCACAGCACCTCAATGCTTACAGAACATGAGCATTCAGCTTACCATTTTTCCACTCGACTGGTAGGCATGCAAAGAGATTGAAGGCGGAGAGGGAACGAGAGAAAGAGAAAGAGAGAGACACCCTGTTACACATGCCTTCTCACATACATGCAAAAATTCCTGATTGTTAGAATCATGGAGAATGCCTCAGCTTCTCTGCATTTACACACAAGCTTGAGCATTGAAGAGGGCAGTACATCATCTTTGATTGGTTGAAATTATGAGCATCATGCTTTAATGAACGCAATCAAACTATGCTATTCACCAAGCAAACGATCAGATCATCCCGTTAACACACAAAACATTAAGATCACTGCCGTAATCAATTATGGCAGGTATATTTATTCTGAAACAGGCCCGATGGCTGGGTAATCAACGGTCTCTCACCTTTTTCATGTCACGGTTATTCATGGGGTCATCTGACATCTTATAAAAGTGAAGTTCAATGATCTCTTTTAACTCATAGTTATAGCCTTTTCTCTTGCAAACAATCACAACTTTATCAAATAGGAAGATGTATCTAGGTAAAGAAAACACAGGAAAAAAATATTACAATCTGTTTTGTAGCATAATGAAAACATACAGTATAATGAAGGTGCAGTCGTACCTGTCTTGTTTGGTCCGGTTAACTATAGAGCACACTTTAAGCTCTCCGTCTATCTTTGGCCTACCGTACTCCTCTAGTTTCACCTGCTGTGAATTACATGTGCGCGCACACACACACACACACACACACACACACACACACACACACACACACACACACACACACACACACACACACACACACACACACACACACACACACACACACACACACACACACACACACACACACACACACACACACACACACACACACACACACACATTGTGACATACATCCAAGCATCACTTGTTCCTGTATGGAATATTACAGGTTAAATACAAGTTAAAGGCAATGAATTCAGTATCTTATTGCATCAGATGGAATTGCAAAAGTAATGACAGATTTCTCAAATACTGCCCGCCCGTCTGCCAAACGGATAGTTCTAAAAACTTTTCACAAAAAACTTTTCGTTTTGTAAGCATGTCAAAGGTTTTGGTTTAGAAACATTTTTGCATGTCAGTTTTGTTTGCAGATGATTTTTGTGAACCAGTCACTGATGAATGTAAAATATTTCTATCAGTCTGTTTAACCTAGAATGACAGTGCTTGTTCTTTCCATCTTTGTACGTTTTCAAAATGTTGAATGTAAAAAAAAAGTCTTTGTTTGCAAAATATCCATATACTGTATAAACATAATAAGAGTATCTTAAGAGGTAAAGAGATAAAAGGTACTACAGTAATGCTACAGTTGCTGCTATATTAGGAACTATTAAAGGCATGGCAAAACCCACAGTGAATGTCTTTTGTCTGTAAGTGTCATGCCTCATTGGCTCATTGATGTATAGCTGCAGGCGTCATCTGCAGCACAGACCCTCACATAAATAAACCAGAGCTGATACACTAACTCCTACATTATCTACTGGGAGAGGATACACTGATTTCATTCCCTTTAAACAGGCCTAAACATGTTCTGTGCTTGTGGCCTGGAGGCTTTCAGGATTTATTTTACTGAACAAAAGTGACAGATGGGGGGCAGGTGGAGGCTTGTAAACAACTAAATGTTTGGGGATAAAGAGGAATTGGCCAGCATGCTGAAATGTGCATGACCTCAGACATCATAAGTCTTGCAAAGGACACAATAGAGGGGTCCAACATGATTTTTGCAATCCTCATAAAAGCCACAAGTAAAGGCACTATGAATTAGCTTTAAGTCAATTACAAGATTCTGATACCAGCTGTGATGTTCTCAGTATTGAGAAGTAGGTTTTCGATACTGACAGTAGGTTGGCCATTGAATATGCATGATATATTAACTGGACAGAAATATACATGAAAAATATAATGCACAGGTAGATAAGGCCCATATTTTAATCAAACAGGGTCATAAAATGAATTATTACTGGCCAAACTTTAACGTGTGCACTCTTTCTGCATTGATTATGCCAGTTTATCACACAACTTCATGAACACTTACTAGATTTTCTATTGAGCTCTGAAATTCACTTATTTTCTTCAAGGTTTCATTGTCTCTCTTCACCTCATTGATGTACATGGCCAGGTCCTTCGAAGACAGATAAATAGACAAAGGTAAAACACTCAGATAAAAACTCCCAAGCCACTCATCCCCCAAAATACAAAGTCACGGAGATCCTTATATATAAAAAAAATCTTTAAGGGATAATTATATTACAAACCAACTCTTGACATCAAACACTGTATTGGGATATTAATTGTGTATTGTATTGTGTATATGATGGTTTTATCAGAGTTCACACCTGCATGGCTTCTAGTGCTTCTTTAAGCTGCTGCCTCTCCGGACGGTCCATAGAGTGACTTACTAACTCCTGTGGAAACACAACACAATAATAAGTCACACATACAGACTGGGTCTGTTTATGGTAAAAGGGATGAAACTCATGATGACACATCCAGGTGATATTTTACTATTTCAGTGTTTTTCCCACTAAATTACCTTTTATTATAAATGGAAAGCACACTTTCTTTCTGCCCCTCACATACTGTACACGCACACTGACACACAGACGAAAACAGACGCGCAAAGAAACTTGTAAATATGCATGATATACTGTATTACCATATAATTTAGCTGAAAAGAAATACACATAGAAGCACACAGAATCATTGTTGTCATCGCTGGCCAACAACTGTCGATAAAATAGTTTGAAAAGTGATTGCACTGATTGCATTTTCCAATTAACGATGTATATACATGTAAATCATTTTATACATATTTATAATATAAAATTATTGAGGATGTCCTCAAAGGAAGGAGGACTTGTTAGATTTAGCAAAACATTTAGAAACAAACATGTGCCATCTTAAACACAACTCACACACATTAGCACTCCCTGGATTGGAGTATATGAAATGGGGTACGGATAATTGGATTTAAGCATGGCTGATTTATCCCCCCCCCCCAGTGCTCACTTCCCTATATCTTGCCCTTCTGTCACGTCACACTCTCCGTATCCATTATTAATGTGTGTTGTGAATTAATGATGGTTTGTATCATGCAGGGCGTCCTGTTTTATACATGATCTCTATTAGCAGTGGCTGGGCAGAGTGGAGAGCCACATGGGTCTTGTTGGATGAGGTAAAACGATCTAAATGTTTTATAAGGTTTTGAGGTTCACAGGAGGTGCTGTGCAGCAGAGAAGCTTTCAAACCTCAAACCAGAATAAGTTAAACAGGTTCCTTAATTTTTCTTAAACTCTCTTAGTGAGAGATGAATAATATTGTTGATGACGAGTAGTGGGTCTCACCTTAAGCAGAAGGTGGTATTTAAGGACCCTCTGCATGGGGACAACTAGAAGATCCTGCAGTTTGAACTTTCCCTCCTGGACCTTCATGGTACACTCCTGTAAACAAGGATTATTGCAACAGGTGAGCAGTTTTTAAAAGGAAACTCTCATAACAAATACGGAACACACTAAAAAAAAAGTAGTATTATTTTAAACTAATCACTAAAGACGGCCTTCAAGAATGTGGCATATTTTAGAGTAGAACAAAATTGTACGGTGAAAAATAATGTAAAGCAAGACTTTTAGCGATTAGGATTTCATTGGATCATGGAAAAATCATTGGACTTGAAACATGTTAGACAATGAGGTTATTGGTTAAAAAAAAATGTCCCCAAATTGTACTAATGGTTATGGTAATTTTTTTCTTTGAAATGGTGTATACTATGGAAACCTGTTTTCACACTAAAACAAATAAATACAAAATGTGAATTTTATATCTCACACCTGCAACTTTACATTTTCATAATTACAAATGTATATCTCACAAAAATGTGACTTTACTTCATTTATTAAACGCAATTATCTTTTTTTCTACTCTGAGGTGGAAACAGGCTTCAACAGTAAATAATCATGCACAATAAGATCAGAAACAGTAATTTAACAAATAAATGTTTTTCATGTTGTCTCCAGTGTATAAACTGTAAACCAGATGTTATCTTTTCCTCTGCACTGTGGATTTGTCATCTTCAGTTTATGCGTTAATCTCTTCATTTTTAATCTCCCTGTTCTAATGTGACAAGTAAGCAAGGAGGACAGACTACTCAAATGTCACGCTTGACATTCAGAATGGACTGAGGAAGAGGTTCATCATCTCTATGACTATCAGTGACTCCACTTCCCTCATGATGAAGGATCTCTGACTAATCCATTACAAGAGGCTCTTGTCTCTTTCCATGGGATCTCGTAACTGCGCTCTGAATGGACTGTACTAGATTACAGAGCCCTTCTTGTGTGTGAGATAACAGAATGATAATTATGTGAATTTGTCAACAAGTGTGTCCACAACTGTGGTTGCTGTGATTTCATCTGTAATCTTCTCTAATCCCGCCTGGAAATAATGGCTTCTCTCGCCAGTATTTATTTTTGAAGTCATTAAAGTAACCCACACTGCCTCAGACTGGCAGGCACAAAAAGAGCCCTGTAGTCCTTCATCCTGAGTAGCATTACCACAGAGTAAAATTAGTTCATGTCCCAAAACTGTCAACAGCAGTCTGCCGAGAGCGAACGCTGTGCTGGGGCTGACCACTGGAGCGGTCTCTGGGCGAAAGAGCTGTTAAAAGAGTCTCTTTGAGGCAGTGTCTCTGCCTCAGCGCACTGCACTGGCTGATGATACATTTTAACTGAGAGAGTGAAACCTGCACGTTGTTTAGTAGATATTGAGCATAATTATTTTTTTTACTTAAAGTGATAGTTCACCCCATAAAATTTAATTTAGTCATATTTTAATATAAATATATATATATACACACACACACACACACACACACATACATATATATATATATATATATATATATATATATATATATATATATATATATATATATATATATATATAATACACACACACACACACATATATAGTAAATACACAGTATAGATGACACTGCATACATGAAACATCAAAATACCATTAAAATGTATATTAGACTGCTTTTACAAATTTCAAGCACTTCTACTGATTAACACTACTAAATAACATCTGTGTACCATACAATTTATCAACTGAGGAGTCTGATTATAGAGAGCCTACCTCCACTTTAAACTTGACATCTTCCCGTGTGGCAATCAGCTCATCCAGTGTCTTCTGAGCATTCTCCATATGGCTGCAGTACTGGCCGTAGATGAGCAGTCTACAAAAGAAAAATCAAAAGACTGATGCCATAACCCTGCGATGACATTCAAGCCTTTTCTCAAAATGCTTTCTTAAGCGATCTTGAGTCCTTGTGTTTGCGTACTACATCATCAATCGTCCAAAACCAGTTCCAATACTCAAAAACCCAAGTACAGAGGATGCATGAAAGTACCCCGGATGTGTTCTTGATAGGATGCATTGAGTGCAGAGAGAATAAAACCCTTAAAAATCTCAAAAATCATTGTGGGCGGACAACGTACGGTGGCTTGTAAGCTTTAAACTTTTCTTGTTCTCACTTATGAGATTCCCGCTGAAAGCTTGCAAATACGTGACGGCTTTTTTTACTTGAATATTTGAAACCATTAAAAACAAAGTCTATGCTACAAGTGATAAACAGATGGTCAGTGTTACATGATTTCATAATGAAGCTACATCCGTTGCGCTCTCTTTATCAAATGAATCTGAGTGAAGCATTTTGATGGATTCTGGATTGTGTACAAGTTAATTTGGGCCACTGAGAAGATCAAGACACATTTATTAGATTGCACAATGGACTCCTGATAGTGATCAACACATTCTGGAAGCAGCTCAAAGTAATCTAGCCTAGATGATGGCATCACGTGTGGCACAGATTTCTGCCTCTGAATTAAGTAGGACACACACTGGCACAGTTGGCAAGCTCAAACCCTTAGATACTCTCGGGTTGCCTGACTCCTAATTGTGGTCTTGGTTAAGCCCGTTTCACTCTATAAGATATAATCATCGCTTAGTTATCCTTGATCAGAAGAATAAATTGCCTGTAATTCCATTTTCCCATAAATTGCCAGAATCAGAAAAAAGAAAGATACAATCTGGAAAGATAAGTGGTCTGATCAAAGCAAGATATAAATTGATAAATCCTAACTGGATTATCCACTAATGAGGACAAAACGCATGTGGATGGGGTCGAATGAATCAATGGATGATCAACTCAAATTTAGTTCATTAAGTGTGGTCTATTGAGGTGGTATAACCTTCTTGATGGTCTGCAATCCAGGAAAGGCTCCAAGTCTCACCTCTATTCATTGACGTGAGCCACCCACTACTGTAAGGAGCGCAAAGCTAACTGAAACTGTAGTCTTGAACTGAAAAGGGGGCTCCCCTGCTGATCTCTTCAATGTCTGGGCCTCCGTGCCCTTGGGCTAAGCAGGCCTGATTAAAGGCTAATCTGGAACAAGAGAGACGGCTTGGTTTCTCATGGAAATGGACTGATGGAGATTAATGGTGGCCTCGCTCAATTATGAGCTGAAAAGCATATTGAAAATGCGGGAGCAGGTGTCGGGAATTAGCTGTAATAACAGATGTCACAGACATAATTGAACATGAAGGTCTTCTTTACAAGGCAATTTCCAGATTAAATGTTTCAGGTGCCTCATAAAAAGGACTGCAAGGGAGAGACGGTGCTCAACGTAGGACACAAAGCAAGAATAACGGGAAAAGGAATCTTCATTTAAGTCAAGAACAGGTTGCAATGCCTCAGTATTTATCCTAGTATGTATGTGTGCATATATATATATATATACACACACATGATATCAGGGGCGTGCAGTCCATATAAGCTGTGAATTCTCTGCATACCGAAGCCATTCGTGGACTCGCTAATCAATATTAACACTATCAATTACTATAAATTCCCTTGTTTGAGATGTACCATAAAGCTTTCATGATAAAATTTTGATAATGCACATGCAACTGTCCGTCATTTAACTATTTGCCAAACAATGATTTTTTTTTTTTTTTTTTTTAAATCTTCAAATCAAGCTACGGAAGGCATATGCTCTGTTGTTATGTGTCGTCATTATTGTCCCGCATTCTCATTGGTTTGCTGGCAAATGGGGGATTTCATGTGCAGGGAAAGCAGTCCATGAATCCCTCACCCAAGCGGAAAAATTTTCTGTCACTGCCAGATCTCGATCACTGAAAATCACACTGTATTTAATACAAAACTAACTAGACTAAATCAAATGAAGAAAAAAACCTATTTGATAGAATTTTATTTTCTCCAAAGGGAAGTTCTTTTTTTTTTTTTATACGAAAACGTATAAACTGTTAAAGACCGACCTACTGTAAGTAGATCTACTGTAACTATCTGAGGTTGTTAATCGATAGTCTATTAACTTATTTTTAAAGGAATGCTTATATTTTTATTAATCATACTTATATTTATCATAATTATATTTTACTTATATTTTATTTATAATAGGCTACTAATATTTGTTATACTATACTTATTTTTAATTCTTAATAAAATAAAATAAAATACTTTGGGCATACATTTAAATTAACACCTGCCATGGTGTTTTTTATTTGCCGTTTCTGATTTAGATCTGAGTCTTTTAGTGTGCCCTAAGCTGATGCGCCGAACCATTTAAAGGTGAAGTATGTAGTTTCTGCGACACTAGTGGCACCAGTTGAATTTCTAAAACACAGCATATTCTAAACTCAAACATCACAAATCACAGCTCTTATGGGTAATTGTGAAGGCATGTCTCAACAGGTATACTGTATGTAGTCTACTTTCGATAAAAGGTCCAACACATTAGGATTTTTTTTTTTAGCTGTGTTGCTGTCATGAGAGTAAGCAAGTGAGTAGCTAACACTCTGTGTGTTGAGTGAACGTGGGAGTCTTCACCTATTAAACCCATACAACGTATCTGCAACATTTTTTGACATGACGCACCACCCAGCATACCCGGTTAAAGAAGTCACCGCTCGCCAGTGTAACACACACACACACTAGGGATAGGCGATATTTTATTGTTTGCGATATACCGGTAAAATTTGTCCTCACGATAAGAATTAGTCTTCCCGCGATAATAACGATAAAGCCCATCACCCATTCGCAGCTCACGCGCATGGCGGAAGGCGGACGTGAAGTTTATCGCTAAATGAGTAACTACCTCTACAATCTGGAACTGGTACACACAGATAGATTTTCACCCGCCCATCTCGCCGAACACTGACTGAGTGCTTGAGAGTTTCACTCTCCGTCAAGTGATCCGTAAAGCCCACTGTATCAGTTCATCTCAATGAATACAGCGTGTATTTGACGCGCAGTAAACACTAGTGTGAGGCGCACGACTTGCTGTCATTTTGCTGAGAGCGCTCAGTGTTTCTCACACACTCGATGAGAGAGAGAGTTTTACATACCACGCAGAATTGAAGTGTACATGACGTCTACATGTAAATTATATTATTTGTTGTATTTTCCTGTAAAAATAATGGAGTTCATCTGGAATTATTCAGCTTTTATGAGCAAGCAGAAAATAATGCGCAAACGCAGACGTGATAATATTCATGAACCCAGCAGCTCCTTAGTGCGGTTTATATTGTTATTAGTATCAAAATTCGTAGTAGTATTAGTATAACTATTCGTTGTTAGTTTTTTTTACATTTCAAACTTGTAATTGATTTCAAATTATTACTGTGTGATGTTTTTCAGTATAGTTGCACTATTTAAACATTATCTGCACTTTTACAGAAGAAACGTATATGCAACTTTTCCATTTCTGCAAGGGATGGTGTTTGGATTTTTACTGTTTTTTAAATTATTTTATGTACGGTAATTGGTATTTTATAGGAGCCTATTTGATAAAGGGTACATTTTACTTTGCATGCAGCTATCACTTGTAGCCAAAAACAGTGGTGAATATGGTATTATATTTATATCTATATCGTCATTGATATCGTTATCGCAATAAATGCCAGAAAATATCGTGATATATTTTTAAGTCCATATCACCCATCCCTAACACACACACATATATATTAAGGCTATCAAAATGCCCGTTTTTGGAGAGTGACCTTCTAAAAAATCTTATACAAGTAAAAAAGTTTTATTTTTATTTTTTTATACTTTCTTTTTATATAACTTTTCAGAACAAAGACAAACAGTAACAAACAATCAACACAGCTTCATGGGTATTTACATGGAAATTATCTAAAAATGTGACATTTAAATAAAAATAAATAAATTAAATAAACTCTTTCCATAATCAGCTAGTACAAGAGATCCTTGAGTAAAAAGAAGTCAACAGGTTATGTAAACATGTATACTTATACGCGCTTATAGACTCATACATAAGTAGACATACATACAAACACAAATATTCTCATGTCAATAGCCATAATTTCATGCAGCTTGAAGTGATATTCTCTCATGGTGGTTACATGCGTGATAGGAATATTTATATGCATACATTTATCTCCATTCTCTCTGTTTTGATATAGTCCATTCCCCAGTGTTTTTCAAAAGTCTCTTCTTGTAGTCTTAACTTGAATGTCATTCTTTCAATTTGATAACTTTCTGTGACAATTTGTACCCATTGAGTTCTCGTTGGGGCAAGATGTTGAGCCATAAATGAGTAATCACTTTTTTTGCTGCTGCTAGTAGTATCCTCAGTAAATATTTATTCCTATTATTAACTGAATCTGGTATATTACCACGATATAGAATATAACCTGTTTCCCCAATCTCAATCTCTAAGATTTCCTCTATACTTGAGTGTATTTCTGACCAATACACTGTTTCAAAACTGGGCAAGCCCAGAAAATATGTACATGATCAGCCACTTGTGTGCCACACTGGCTCCAGCAGGAGCCTAGATTTGCTACTCCTTTTTGTTTGGCTTTTACTTTGGGCGTGATAAAGATATCACTTTATTATATAAGTCATTTGAACTACGTTATAGCGACCATTAATATATTTTAACTTATACGTTTAATTTACTAGTATATAACCGAAGCTATGGATTGTTAAACATTTCTCGTTCTTAGTGTTTTTTTAGTTAGCTTAAATAGTAGCATAGCATACAGCTATCCAAAATTATTAGATATAACGTTTTTCTCACCATGGCATCTATGATATTTTTATATAACAAATATGATATAAGCATAATTCTGTTTAAGAATTAATTATTGCACTGTAAAAAATATAATCGTAAAAAAAGGGTCAAATGA